GAATAAAATCTTCTTCTAAGTTACAAGCTAACTGGCAACATAAGGAGTAAGCTCAGCAGTGGTGATGTTTCTTTAATTCTGGTCCATGGCTGTCAGGTTGTCACACAGCACCGACACTCCCATAAGCCTTGTGTGCTCTAATCCTTCATTAGTCTGGTTTCCTCAGTCTGGTCCTTAACTCATCCAGACCCTCCAGTTAACTCTTCTACAGTCTAACCTCAGAGTGATCCTCAGTTTTTTACATTACTCCGCTGTGTTCTGATGAGGATTCCAGACACATTAGATTACTGCGCTCTAATATGTCTTGGGTAGATTATGGACCTTCGGGTGAAGACTGGGTGAGAGGAGTAGATTGAAGGCAAAGCGGCAAACGAATGGCTCATGCCTGCAATCAGCATGACCAGTGAGTATTAATCTGATGACCCAGTATGTGTGTCTGTCCATTTGCATGATGCTAGGATTCAAATAAGTGGTAAATGCTGCCATGTTTTTTAGCACAAAGTTTTTGTTTCTTCACACACTGATGGACTTTACATCGTGGATGAATGCTCTGTAAGTCTGAAAGATGTTTGTATTCATTAAAGCAGTTTTAATCAAATTAATATAATGTATTAAGAATTTGGCTAAAGTCTGCAAAGAGCTGCGGATTCTCATTGGGATCGGCAGATAAAACCTTATTTAAATACAGAGAGTCATTTGATAATACAATAATTGTTGCGACCACCCACCACAGGTCAGCACTACCCCATGACTGAATTCACCACATAATGTTAGCTACAACAGCTGTGTAGTTGACCCCGCAAATGCTATTTGTTGGAAATTTAATGTGACTGACTAACCAGCTATTTCATTTAAATGATTGGACATTACCTAACTAAAGGTAACGTGAATATACCTTTCATACTTATCCTCGTCTGTAAACATAATTTCTACCTTATTCACGTCAGATAGATTTGTATCGACAATATATTACCGCACGTTACTTCACAACGTCATCAAAGTCCGTCTTTTGTCATTATTTAGATTGAGAAACAGAAGAAATTACAAACTGTGGATATAAAACGTGTAGTAAGTATTGACGACAGTTGAGGCTTTGGTTTTGTCTATTTATCCTGTTTACACTGTCAGCTAAAACACTTACAAAATGTTTTGAACTGTCTGCACAGAGAATCTGACATGCTCCTAACCAGAATTAAGATTTCTGATGGTTTAATGTATTGACATTATGTTGATTATAATTGTTTTAAATCTACCTCAGATTTGTCAAATGTTCTGCTGTTGGGTAAACAGCACTTAACAAATGGTTTCTTCAACTTAAACTTCATGAGCACACTTCATACCAGATTTACACCAAAAAAAAATCTGAAACAGTTTTATTGTTAGAGACAAATTTTCAGTGTCGGAATAAAATCATCATAATTTTGCTAGAGTTTTGGCATGCTTCTGTGATCTCAATCGTTTGGTGTTAGGTGGTGATAAAACTCAGTCTGAACTGTCTCAAGTCAGTCCTTTTATCATCCTGACGTTCCAATAAAATCAAACATGTTAAATAATCTCACAAGTTTTAGAATGGGTGTATACCTGGGTACAGCATTGAACCCCATTCATTACCATGAAAGTTGCTCAGTGGCGGATGAAGCCAAAAATGCTCAGTTACCATGGAATGAAAGTAACCAGATATTTCAGCATAGTGGGGTTCATAGAGCAAGCACACTTGAGACTTACGGCCGCAAAACATAGCCGAATGCAGCCACGTGGCCATCTTCAATCAGCTGAGTGACTGACTTCCTGTTTAATGCTCCACTAACTTGAATTGGGATAATTGGTTTTTGGTCCAAGCTCATGGAGACAGAGAAGTTTCCAATGTTCAATGACATGAACATTGTCAACAACTTCATCCAGCATCAAACAGGAAATAGCAAACTGGGAAGACACAAAACATGGAGGGGTCTGTTTTCATGTAAAATCATGAATGAAAATTTATATTTGGTGTAGTCATACATATATGATTAAATCGAGCAATCTTCAGTTGAAACATACAGTTAGTTCGTTGGTTAAAACAAGCAGAATGTTAAAGCAAACAGTCCAGTCACTAACGTTAGCTTGCAAAACGCCCCACTGAGAACAGTGTTAAGATAGCTAGCTATGGCATAAACCATACTGACTGGGGATTTCAAGGGCTGCAGCAATTTCTGTCCACTTTTTTCCCACTTCAAGGTAGCAATCGTGCAAATAGTGGCCCTGCATAATCTTATAGTCTGTGACTAACAACACTCTGACCTATGACAAATGGTCTTTAGATGTAAGAAGGTGTTGGACTTTGGTACTGTGAAAGCATTTTCATTGTATTTAAGTGTATGATAGGGATTTGAGTGATACTCTCATACATTAGGGTGGCAGAGAAGATGATGCTTATCTTGTTGCCAGAATACCCAAAGCTAAACGTTAAAACTTTTTATGTAAAAAGTTGACACCTTTCTCTTCAGCCTAGAACTAGGGAGGTGACATGTAGAGTTTATAAAGACACAGGTTTTTTGCTGTTTCCTCAGTTGAATTCTAGTGTTGGGTATATGTTCATTGAGAGGAAATATTCAGTCAAGTTAATTTTACCCATATAGATCAAAATCACAATTTTGCCTCAAAGAGCTTTACAATCTGTTCAACATATTACACTATCATTATAAAACCTAAATCAGGAGGAGAAACAATCCCACGCTCAGGAAGTGATGATCATACAGAGGAAAAAACCTTAACATCGACAGAAAATACAAGGGGATAAACACTTCCTCATGAGATGTTATAATGGTGTCTTTCATGTAAACATTTAGTATATTTCTTCAGGTTTTTCAGAAGGACTTTGGGCTCTGATATTGTCTAAAAATGACTGAACCTTTGGGGTCTGTAATGAGAAATGTTAACTTCACAGTAGGCACTGTGGTTCAGGGTTAGGGGACTTAAGGGCTCCCTAACCCTGTGCCCAGAAGACCCATCAAGTAATCCAGCCTTGATCTTCTGTAGATTACTGTGAAATACAATGATTCAACACCCTCTGGTCAGGGTTAAGTATTTTCCTGGATCAAGATATATAGTTATTTTGATTCTTAACTACATAAGTATCTCTCTTAGAACTTTCTGTTGAACATTTATTTGTGGCACGGTATTTACACAGGTATGACTGTGTGTTGGTGATAATATGCCAATCATGTTTTTGTGCCCGGGATGTGCACCTTGACCAGTCAGAATTCCCAGAGGGATAGGGATTTCTCTGATCCAGGGTGGAGCCTGGGCTGGTCAAGAGCGCTGCGATCCCTGGATTGGATGAGTGGGATTATTGGGTTGAAGGCTCATTTAATTTAGGGATCAACATGTGGCCCATTTGAGGCCCATCTGGTGGTCCTAGTGGACATGTGACACAACCTGACATAATCCACATGTAGACCATTTCAGACCAGACGTGTGAGCGAGTAAGTATGTATATAAACACCTACCACTGCTGCTATTATTCCCTGCCTTTTTTTTTTTTTCCTAATGCAGCTTTTGAAAAGAGGCGTGGCCCAATTCCTAAAACATCTGGATGAGCAGGGGCCTGAATGAAGCTGAAACTATATAGTCGATTACGCGATGGACAGACAATTAATGAGCAATTATTTTGACTATTATCATTTTCTTCAAGCAAAAATACTAATTAGTTTTTGATTCCAGCTTCTCCAATGTGAGAATTTGCTGTTTTCTTCTGTTTTAAATATCACTGTAGAATGTAAATTTCTTTTGGTTTTCAGACAGCTCTGGTCGGTTTTACTGGGCATTTTTCCTCATTTTATCAAAAAACAATTTATCAGTAGGTCAAAAGAATTACTGGCAAATTACTCAAAGATGAAATTAAACGTTAGTCGCAACCCTATCCTAAATCAAAGCTTAAGTCATGAAACTATCACAATATGTTTGATTGCAACATGCTGTTTTCTGACAAAATGAAGAAAAAACATTCCTTGAAGTGTAAGGATTATTTTCAAAAAGAAAGAATGAATGAATAGACCTCATTTATTCAGAAGTCGTTTTAATTCTGCAAAACTGAGAAGAAAGTGTTAAAAACTGCAGAGACTGCAAAAGGACAGAAAAAAGTCACAAAGGAAAGATATTTATGCCTGTCTGCATTGCTAGAGAATGTACCATGATTTTGTTACCAATTTATTGATAACATATGAGGCACTAACTTCTTCCTCTGTCCAGTGCTGTTGTAGAGAAGCCTCAGGCCTGGGGTCAGGACAGTTTAATAATACTCTGCAATGCCTGGAATGTCAGCCTAATGCCAGTTCAAAAAGACAAGGCCTGCAAAAGCCAATCAAAGCCCCCGGCCACTAAACCAGTGGATTACTCTGTTTGTGTAAATGTGCATGCATAATCACACATGGCACATGAAAATCTGACTTTTTTGACTGCTCAATCAATCTGTGTATTTGTAAAAGTGTTTTCAGATATACTAGTCCGGTCTCTATGTGTTGTATGATGAAAAGCTACTCTGACCCCCCCTGTTCAGCAGACCCCTGAGGTTTGGGCCGAATTAGATCACACACTCAGTGGGGGTGGCTCTGTGGACTAAGAGAGTCACTGAGACAACAATGGCCCTAATGTGAGAGAGGCAAAGGCAGCGGGCAGCTCACAGGCTGATAGAGGCTTATCGCCGTGGAGACCAGGCTGGGGGCTATGTTTCTCGGCTTCACATAAAGATTAGAACAGTTGTCCCCTGCCTGGATGAAACTGTGTAGAAGAGCACAGGCTAAGCATTGACATGATTCTGGAAAAGGGTCAGCGAGCTGATGTGATTATGAGGGCAGATATTCATGAGGCTGGACTCATAGCTTGCTTGTAAGTTTTTGAAGACAGGGGAGGTAAAACACCTAAAATAACTGGGCTACACAAATTACTGCACTGCTAATTTGAAACATCTGATACATAATTTCACGATTGTCTGGACTAACTCAGCTTCTCGTTTCTGTCAGGTTTGTTGAAGATGCACTGGTCCCCGGAGCACGCCGCCCCCTTATCTCAGTGGCCTGAGCAGCACCTAGATGTCACCTCTACCACCTCACCACCGTCTGCCCACAAACACGACCCCTATGCTACAGCTGCTCGCCGCAGCTATGCCCCTGCAGGTTACCCTTGGGCAAGTGATGACATATCTGCCCTTACTGCTTCTTCTCTGCTCAAACGCTATGCTGAGAAGTACTCAGGCTTGGAGCTGTCCTATGAACGCCCTCCTACAGGGGCATACTCAGAGCCTGGAACTTTCCTAAAAACTGAATCTGAGCCATGGGCTCTGGGTCAGGGCATGGAGTGTTACCCTGGACTAGAAGCATTAACTGGCACAAAGGTCGGCTCTGCATCAGTGGGCATCCCAGCCACAGGAAGTGTGACAGTAGTGAGCAGTAACTTGGCCTCCGAGCCAGGCTACAGTGGCGCTGGCTCCTGCAGTACCCCATCATCTCAGGAATATCCTCCTGCCTACAACAGCACCTACCTGTCCTCAGGATACTGCCCTCAGCCCAGCGCAGCACTTCCGCCTGCCCCCCTACACTCTTTGCAGGCCGCACCTACTCTTGTGCCCAGCTACAGCGCCAGCACTCCAGTCTACAACTATCCTCCAGGCTGCTATCCCCAAACCAGCCTGTCGTCTGGATACAGCCACCCCAGTGCCTCCTACCTTCCCCCTGGGATTAGTGCCCCCACTCCTCTGGCCCCTAGGCCCACAATGGTGGGGGGCAGTTACAGCTACCCATCTCACAGCCTTGGAGGGAGCTCCGATGGAGGGGTGCCACTGAAACGTAAGGCCTTTGAGATGGCAGAGGAAGGACAGGAGGCTGGAGAGGTGGAGGGATCACGCTACAGAAAGTATGGCAATGGCCATGGAAACAGTCATGGCAAAGGGCACGGTAATGGCTACGACATGAGCGGTTCGGCCTCGGACCCACAGGCCTACAAACCAGGAAAGCCCATGATGTCACCCCCTTATGGCGGGGCAGGGGACTACAGCCCACCATCAAGCCTAGCAGGAGAGAGCGTGACAGGGGAGCACAACTTTCCTCAGCAACAGAGAATGTCTATGAAGATACCCGCATCGCACACACGATCCGAGGACCCCACTGCAGGGCGCTGACAACACTGGTTGGACATGAGAAGATTCTTGCACTCTTTGAAACCAACCAGGGTTCTCAATCATGACAGACTTGGGGGGAATAAAGTTGGATTTGTCAATGAAAGGTTTAGTTTCACTAACAGACACAAGAGGGCACAAGACTGGGATTTCTTGTGCATCTTTAAACATTTTCATTATTAATGTTTTCCCAAAGATTCACAGGGGCATTTTGCTCCGTAAGGTTAGGGTAAGTTTTAGGGGTTAAGGTAAGGCATTCTAAACATAACTAGCGTTAAGACAGTCTAAACGTGTGAGTGTCTGTTTCTCTCAGGATCCTATTTATTTCCTCTCTGCTACTGCGGCAGCAGCACTGCAATGTTGCTGCTTTAGAAATTGGTGTAATTATTTGTGGCCATTATGTATGCAAAAGGCCTTTGACTGCAATACATTCTACCACAAAAATCATTACCGACCAAAAAGTAAGGAGAGCAATAACTGAAATGGTGAGGTTGCCATAGTACTTCAGTACAATCACTGCTTCTTTACACAGCTCTCTAAGTCTCTAACTCTAAGGCTTGGTCTGTCACCTGGCCTCGAGAAATGAATGTTTTCCTGCTCAGCACTCGCTTTCCCCCCAAACTTGACTTGTCTTTTCAGTTTCCTTAACCTCTTCTTGTCATGGTCTTTATCGTATTCTATCCTGGGGTCCTGCTTCTTGTTCTCAACCTTCTTCATTACTGAACAACTTTTTATTTTTGTCCAGTTTATACATAACAAGCTGCTTATCAAATGATTACATAGTATACATGAAGCCGCCCTCTAAAATAGTTTTGATGTAAAGAAAGAGTGGGGAAATGAATTGAAGATTTTATGTTCATTTGTTCAAACGTATTAAGCGTTCACTCAATGACAGCATATATGCAGACAGTCTTCAAAGCGTGTTGTTTACAGCAGATTTCTGCTGATCCTAAACCTATTTTCGAAAAATCTGTGAATAACAGTGCAACTTACACCTTAATACTCAAAGTAAAAAGAAGTAATGACATGAATGATAACATTCACTCAGAGAAGCTTAAAGGCACGTAAGCCTGTTTTTTATCTTTTGTTTGGATGCACAGCCCAGACTGAGAGGCATACAGATCTCAATGGAGGATAAATGCTTCTGAGTGCCTCAAATAATTGTCACTTAACATTACATTCTTGATGAAGATCCACCTGCCCGTCTGCAACAGGATTTACTTTTTTTAAATATGCATTCTCTTTACTTTTGCCTCTCAAAAGGATGATTTATAGTCGTGTTATTGAATACTCAGGAAAAATATTGTTACCTCAGAATGATAAAATAAGAATGTATGTTATTACCTTAGGGTGTTTGTAGGGAGCTTTATGGAGCAAGATGAAAACAGAGCCATGGCTTTTATTAAGAGCAAAACATACTCTGAACACTTCAGGGAAACAATGAACTTACAAGGCCTTTGATACTAGTAGAAAATGCACATACCCACACATGCATGCACACCTACACACACACACACACACACACACACACACTGCTTCTTAGCTCTGGGAAAATTAAACTTGAGGTTTTTGTACCAAGGCCTGAAATGTTGAATGTAATTCAGATATTTTTTTTAAAAGGACAATACATGCCATAATGTACATCAATGGTGTTTTTAGATATATGAAACATATTTTCTTCATGTATAGATGTAATTCTCTTCTAGGTTTTGGTGGAGAATTGAATGACATGTTAAGTGTTAGTGTAGTTAGCAGTGGGAAAACGGTTTTTGTGGACAAACTGTCAAAAACAAAGCACTCCTGATAAACAACTTTTGACATATCAAGACGTACACATGCTACAGTATATGCTTTATAATAGGTGTTTATTAAATGTCTTAATAAAGTGTCCAGTCTCCATTTTCCCATATCAGTATTTTAAAACTGCTGACAGTGTCACCAGGCAATCAGCTTGATTTCAACTCTAACATGAGGCCATGAAGAAGGGAGAAGTTAAAAATTTACCAAGTATGTGCACTGTCAGAAACTATGTACAGTTACAGCCGTAAACATTTGTTTTTTTGCCAAGTTGTAGCTTTGTTGCTCTTCTATGTCACCCCTTCATCAGTTGTGCCATACTATTATTTTGTTAAAATCAAACAAAAGTCTTGCCTAAAACCCTGCCCAGAGTGGATCCCCTTTAATACTAAGATTTAGGCTGAAATGCAGCTTCAGATTTAGTCTGAAATTAAATGTGATTAAAAGTATTTTAATTTGGAAATATAAGCACATTCATAAAATTGAACTTGAACTCAGAATGTGGTTGAGTGTGAAAAATAAACCTCACACAAAGATTTACCTTCAAAAAATTCTGGAGAAAAGAAAACAGATTAAAGAAAAGGTGTTACACAAATAATATTGTTTGTTACCCCCAGATTTTAAAAGTATTTCAGCGCTTAGCTACAACAATTGAATGCTCTTCAATGCCACACAAAGAATGTGCATTACATTTACCTACACACTGCAACAAACGACAGTGTTTGCTGTTTCTTGGTGTTACTCTGATTCATTGAAGTAAGTGGAGTTGAATTTGTCCAGCTGATGGCAAATGGCATTTCAGTGTTATCTCTGTTATCCAGTTGTACTTTTGTTGTATCTTGTACATTCTCTGTAACCAATTCTACCTCATTTTGAAGACATTGTACATGGAAATATTTATTTCATGTCATTTCACATGCCAGTTTAACGAGCAATGCTTCTAACTCTTGACCTGTTATAGTCTACCTCATTAAAGACTGTTGTGTCATGGAAATGAAGATATCACACCAAAGAAAGGTCTGACTTTGTCTTTTTGTCCATGTAATTTGAAAATGTTAAGTGTCATTATCATTCACTAAAATATACTACTGTTTTCAATTTAAAATATTGACTCCAGGTCCAACTTCATGTTGCAGCATGATAGCAAGTAACTTTACCCAGTATTGCAACATGAATGTGACACTGACAAAACTGTTTACTGCACCCCAAATGTCCTGATAACAGAGGTATTATTTTTTTCAAGAAAAAAGGGAAAAAACAGTGCTGTTTTTCCAAATTAACAATATAATAATTTAATTATTCAGAAAAACAGCAGATATTTTTCATGAAAACTTTTTTTCTTTTTCTTTCTTTTTTTTTTTTTTTTTTTTTTTACAATTCTGAGATAATAATCATGTTAATTCAGAAAAAAACAGGGCATTTTTTTCTCAACCGAATGTATTACACTTCCATACAATTCAATTCAACATACAAGAGGAATAAAGTTTTCTATAATAAATTAAAGATTATACATCTTTAATTGGATTTAAATGGAGCAATACTTTCAAGAAAATTCCTCAGGAAAACAAAACCTGCATTTAAACCCAACTAAGTAATTTATTTCAACAATCAGTCTCTGAACATTGTCCCCCTTTCCTTAAAATTTGTACCAGTAAAATCAAGTGATACCTACATAGTATTATTTTAAGCCCATGTTGTAAAACTGGTAAGGGAGTCATTTGTGTTATGTAAAGACCCTGTTAGAAGCTCAAGAGAGCGTAGCATAAATGGACAGGAAGAGTTGAGGAGATCCTGACCCTCTTCCCCGGACACCACCCTCCTACCCACAGCTTTATTGTCTGGAGGGCGGAGGGCATGCGCTGGCGTGTGACAGATGTCTAAAACTTTTGTCCTTTGTCCACAGTGAATCTAACCCTGCTGTAGCGTCAAAGCATTTCCCAGCGAAACCCTCTTTGCCCCAAACTTTTAGAATCAATCGCCTAAAGTCCTGCATCTAAGGAAACCTCAGACCACATTTCTGTTACTGGCTGCAGGCATTAAACCAGCCATCTTCATTAAAACATTTCACTAAGCTTCTATTCCCCTGTATTAACCTGAGCTCAGGAGCCTTGCAGAGTATCACTTCTCATTTTGAGCAACCAGCTCAGCAAACCACCAAAAAGTAACTGTGTTAAATAACAATATTTAACTTTAAATGTCATGTATTTGACCAAAATACAGTGTCTCTGCCTGTCTAAGAAGCATATCAGTTTCTCCACCAACTTACACAAACAACAGCAGCTGCTCAAGTGCCAGATAACAAGTACAACAGTGACACCTACAGGCTCTGATAAAGAAGTATCTCATTGTATGACAACTGTAACAGTAACAAGGATGACTGATGGGCAGTACGGAAGAATAGGGGTAAGAGAGTCAGTCATATAGTGAAGATACAAATAAATATAAACACATAAGCATAAATTCAAGGACCTACCAATGGAGTCTAAATATATTTTCAACAATCGGCACAGATGCTGGTCATAACACATCATAAACAAATGAACAAAACATGACTTACAGCTTCCAGGCTCAGTTTGTGTCTTTTCTTTTTGATTCCCAGATGATGTCTTTCTCTACTTTACTCCATTTTCTTTTGCCATTTCTACACTGGGTTTGGATCCACTTTTGAAAGAGTATTTTCTTTCCAAAAAAGGCTCTTGCTCTCCAAAGGTGGGCACAGTTTGAACTGTGGGTGTTTGTACAAAAAGTATGAGGATAAAAAGGCATAACACAACTGCTGTCTATTAATTATGCCGTGGACTATGCACTATACATGGCAATGTTTATTCATAAAGTGCACACAGTTATCCTCATGTTTCAGGATCTTACCCAGTGGTGACACCATACTGTTGCTGGGTGGTGTGCAGAACTCTTCCTTGAGGCTGAGGGGAAACGTCAGTGCTTCCTCCACTGGGGTGGATGGGACTGCAAAGTCTGTAAAATGCAGTAGTATTTGTTTCCATGTGTTTTTGAATCAGATATGGACAAACTTACTGTGAGGTTCAAACCTTGGTTGAGAGTGGGCAGTGGTGTAAGAAGCGTTTAGATCCTTTAATTAAGTCAAATTAGAAAAAAAGCTGTAAAACATTCCTTCACCAATTAAAGCCCTTCAATTTAAAATTAATTTGACATAAGTAAAGGCATTAATGGCCCCTGTCACTTTTATATAATTACATTATCAGGGTGTTATCACTCATGCATTAAAATGAACACAGAGGCAGAATTTTACTGTTATGGTCAGTAATTTAATCAACTTTAAATACTCAAGGGTAGTTTAAATGAATCAGGAAAATTACAACCAGTAAGTATGGATGCTGATGTAGTGGAATTTAACATACCTTGTAGATATACTCAAGCACAAGTAAAGATGAGTACATTTGAGTAAACTTGAGTATATTTATTTGTGTTTAAGTTAGCACATTTTGTGATTGCTTTTAGTTTAAAAATTAACATTCCTAATTAAAATATTTCTATCACATTTACGTTAGCTGAAATGTTCCTCTTTATTTGACTAGGTTCTCTGTATCTGACAAATACTTATCAATATTCACAGTAAAATCATAATGTGCTAATCGGTAGCCAGCTAGGCTATTAGCTATTAGCAGACTCACTGTAGAGAGGGGAGCTATGGATGCTAGCTGAAGCTAACACCACAGGCGACCTTGGGACTCCCTGGTCTGAACTGGAAGGACCTGTGGCAATAAAAAGATACTTGGTCAAGAATTAGCATTATTAATTTTACTAGTAATATTCTGACTACATAGACGTGTTAATACCACTTGACGCGGTCATTTCAAACCACTCCAGGCCGGTGGTGGGCTCTGTTACATCCGGTACTTGAGGACCGGGGGACGGCGGAAGGCCGCGAGTGTGTCTCACAAACCGACCAGCAGGTGAGCTGTGAGGGTAAAGTACTGAAACTCGACTTACGTCCATTTCAAGATATCTTATCTGTAAAATTAACGTAGCCTATTCCTAATTAAATCTAGCAGATCTTTTAACTAAAATCCGAACAGGAAGTGAGCAGCAATGAATTTAGCTTTGAACCTATTAGCTTGGAAGCTAGCAGGTTTTTAGCCCTTAAATTTGTCTTACAGGCAAACCAGCAAAGGTCGTTTCACCTTTAACAGTGTAGTTTTCAGTGTTTTTTAAACGATTTTGAAAGTAAATACATCTTTAAAAAAAAAGAATATACAGTACCAGTCAAAAGTTTGGACACACTTTTCAAGTGTGTCCAAACTTTTGACTGGTATTGTATACCGTTTCAAACTGGACAACATAAACATTCTAAATGGTTCCCTCTGTATTTCCTGTTTGAATGTATGTTAATGCAGAAGCTGACAGGAAGTAAGCAGGGACCAATGTTGTTGCCCTAGCAACAGAATAGCAACGAATCGGTCCATAATGTATTGTATGTAGAATGCGTAGTAGAAGGCTGGGCAAAACCTGATTTAAATCTCTGTCATTATTCTTTAACCCTAGAAGTACATAGACCCATTTTGTGTCCCATTTTTGCAGGGAACAGGGGATCTTTTTGGGGAGATAGCAGGTAAACAGTATATGCCACATAGAGGTGGTAAACATCATCTGACAGCTGGGAACCTCAAGATATCAAAGGTTTAGTATATAGAGCCTTAGAAAACTTTGATGGAAGTATATGATGGCCATTCCCATCCTCAACAATGTCTCGTAAGTTGTTGCAGTAATTTTTGGGTTGTTGGGTTGTTAGTATTTGTTACACAGTTTTGGTGCTAAACTTAAGCATGTTTTACCACTCAAGAATTGATAAAAAATGGTCAAAAATCCCTCCATAATTCCACATGAAGACACCAAGAAATTAAAGAATACCACAGAGAAATCCACACTGTGATTTGGAGTCAAAAACTTTCGATATTTGATGATTTCTGTAAGAGCTGCATTTTCCAGCAAATGGATGGCGAACACTTCTCTTCTGGAAACTCATCCAGCCATACATCCTCTGATTGCACAAGGTCTATAGTTTGTGGCTGTTAAGTTTGCAGTTATCCTCGAGGTCACTGTAGGTCATTTTATACAGCGATGTCTGTTTAAAAAATGGTCTCACAACAATGAAATGGCTGCTTTGGGGGCTGACACCATGACACATGAATAAAATTGACATAATTTAATCCACAAGAGTCTCAGCTTTCCAGTTAGACCCAGATTATGCAATTCCAACACTGTTACGGGGCGAGTGTGCAGAAATATTCAAATACAATTGGTGAAAATTGTACACTGCATGCAAAGAAGTGCATAGTTTGTGCCCCAAACTGGGACTAGCATAAGCTGAGCATGTCTGTGTAGTTGAGACGCGTGAGTACCCAAAGAACCAATTTCCATTCAAATATCTTCCTGAGACGCTAGCATTACATAAGGCCCGTTTCCACCGCAGGAACTTCTGGGTAAATTTACGGGGCCGGGGCCGTTGGTGCGTGTCTCCACCGCAGGAACCACCCCCGAAGGACAGAGTTCCGGAACTTTTACAGGGGCTAAACAAGTCCCTGCCTCCGAGTAGGTACTCAGAACGGCCTGAAAAACTCCTGGCTGGGGCTTGGGGATTACTTGGTGCTGATTGGATATACTCTAGGCGGAATGTGACGTCAACAGAAAGCAACAAAATAGCCGGCATTTTTAAAACTCAGCAGACGAGGGTTAGCTCGTTCATAGCTGCCATCGCCATGTAAACAAACTCAATAACCGGTCCGTGAAAAACATATTTTTTCCGGCGGATATCTTAGTTACAACATAATTGAGCTAGCAAAGCAGTTTTGTGTTGCTATGTGTGGTATTTATTCAGTTTTGGGAAATCACTTTGTCTAGAAAGCATCAGCTGACAGGGACAGCTAACAGCAGCAGCAAAGCTAACATTAGGACGTCATCTGTTAAAGGCCTCCCGTTGTCGGATACGACATGAAACTACTCCAGTTAGCTCAATCATGTTGTAACTAAGACATCCGCTGGAAAAAAAAAAAAATTTCATGGGCCACTTTGTGAGTTTAGTGAGTTATTATAGACACCGCTAACAGCTAACAGTGTCCCCATGCCACTACGTCGCCCCGGTCAAAATGGTCGCGCAACGATCACGTCACATCCAGAGCCCGGTAACTTTACAGGAACCTTCCTCCTACTCCGCTCTCTCAGTGGAGACACGGCGGTTGAGAGGGCCGAGTGAGAGGACGTTCCTGTAGTAGTTCCTGCCCCCCAGATAGTACCAGGATCTTCTTCAGTGGAAACGGGCCTATAGTTGGTACCACAGGATTCTTTAGGTCTTCCAGTTTCATATAATATCAGTATCATCACTAGCTTTAAAACTCAGCCCTCTGTGGCCTCTGAAAGACAGGAATGTTGGATTGCTGGTGACCCAGTGGGTCTCATAGGGTTTCTGTAGGCTGATGCGGAAGTTAGCATAGCTCTGGTTCCCTTGTTGGATTTTGAATTATTGCAGAAAATAAGCCCAGTGGCAAACAAATGTATGATAGCTATTAGCTACTTACAAGCTTTGTTCAGCAAGGTAATCTTCACAAATAAACACCACTCATATGATTCTTGAAGCTTAAATGCAATTACCATAAGTTAAAAGCTAATGTTAGGTTATCAACAAACTACCCCAAGGTCGCATGAATTAACATCTCAACCACATCAGGCTAGTGTTGTCACGATACCAAAATCTTTGTTTCGGTACCAATACCAATATGAATTTCGATACTTTTTGATACTCTTTGGTACTTTTCCTAAGGAAAAGTCCTTTTGGATACAAACCTTTAGAACAATAAATAGTAGGGGTGTAACGGTACCAAAAAAAATCATGGTTCGGTAAGTACCTCGGTACGGACGTCACAGTTTGGTAACTCAAATGTCCCACCAAGTTTGTGTTGTCTCGTGTTGTCTCCCTTTGCGAGGCAGACTTTCTCTTGTCTTTTTTCACATGTGCCAGCTGCGAATGTTGATACAGGTGTTGTCATACACACCACTTGTGCAATCTGTGCTCCAATAGGAACAAGAAAGGCGTTTGTGTGCATAGTTGAGTAAAATAGATTAACTAAATTAATGAATTGAATCAATTTCAAAGTACCAGTATTTTCCAAATGCAGTATAGTACTGTTTGGAATGCTCTAGTACCGCGGTACTACTTTAGTACCGGTATACCGTGCAACACTACATCAGGCTATAAAGCTGTGTTTGGCCTGATGACGTTCTGTAGTCTCATTTAGCCACTTGTTAGCCACTGTCCTTTTTAAGTCACATAAAAGCTTCAAAATTCACAATTGGGGTATTATTGATGTATTTCATGTGAAAGAACAAATCGTGAAAGTCTCTTAAGCTTGTTCACAACACACCTTATTACAGGCATCAAAACAAAGACCCATTCAAAAAAAACCCATTGACTTCAAGATGAGGAAACCAGCAGTGCAAGAATGCCAAGTCATTTCCAGGTTTTAGGATGTATTCCTGGTGCACGCTATTAAGTGCATTTTATATAAAGCTAACTTAACCCAAGTGGGTTTCTTCAAGAAGGCTTTACTTCCCAAGGATAAATGAATCTTTTGCCTGTGTCCATGTTGAGGTTTTACAAATGATGAGGTACATAAAAATAAAAATGTTGGATTTGGTCTGGGAAACCATCGTCATTCACTTTGATAAGCCCCATTTGCTGATAATCTGCTGCAGCTACTATGCATACACTGTACCACCACTACCACATCAATGACTAACTTTAACTGTCTGCACATACGAACTGTGCCTTTAACATGAGGCAGTGACTCAGTTGTCTTGAGCTATTTCCTGCAAGTCCCACTAGAGGGTGTTAGATAGCTGTGCCTCATTTGAGGCACTTTACTAATGTCTACTGGAGGGGTTACAGCAATAAACACAGTAGATAGAGGCTGTGATCTCTGCAGACACAGACACGGGGCAGGGATGAAAAACACAAATCCCAACCCAACAGGGGCAGACACAGCTCTGCTCTAAGATGGATGGGGCAGTGGCGGCATAGAGGGCTAAACCAAGGAGTAATCAGCAAAAAACTATCACATCTTTTATTCCATTTTGGCTAAATGGAATTAATTTATATTCCTTTCTCAGATAGGTAATAGAAACTACGGGGAAACTGTTTAACCTAAGACAATAATGTCAGGCCTCTGATCTCATGCTCGTTCTCTTAAACTGGGCCTATGTATATATATTTGATCCACGCACCCTCTTCCTTTCCACTCGTCTTCTGCACGGTGGAGCACACATGACACAGAAAAAGAAAAACTATAAGTGAACAACCATTACCTCACCCATATGCTTGATCATAGCAGTACTGCAAATTACATGTTATTGATTCCTTAAAGACATACAATCTCCCTCTCTCTGTATCCGTTACACACACTTCCTCCCCTCGGTCTCCCTCCCTCCTTCTCACAAACTTGCTCAGACAGATCACACCAATGTCCTACTTAATCCATGTCCCACCTCTGCAATGAAGTCCTGCTGTTCAGATGGATGCAAGGAGGACAGAAACCTAAAGGGAACAAAAACAAGACAAAGCACATGTACAGCCCAGACATATATGTGACATTTTGATGGTGTCTAAACAGGAAAGCCACACACTCAGACAACATAAAGTATGGAAATCAACAATTCCTGGATATAAATCATATACAATAAACAGTTAAATGTTTTATAACCATCTAAAATTGATCTTTTTAGAGCACTAAAATATTGATGAATGCACCTCCTACGTTGTCCAACAACTCAGTGTAAGATACAGCATCAAACTGTGCAAAATAATGTGCTACACTCCAAACGCATGCAGCACTGCAGGTAGGAGGTAAAGGATAAATCCATAGCAACAAACTAGCC